ATATATATATATATATATATTTTAATGAGACCTCCATCATTAATAATATCATTAGTTTATTTGTATAGAGAAAAGTTATATTATTAAGTTATATTTTTTACTCTATGAATTGAAAGGTAATTAATTAAAAATTTAATGGTTATTTTACTAAACTGAGCAAATAATTTATTTTCTGACAATGAGTTTATGATATTAATTGATGTAATTAAATATATCTGATGAATTGACAGATGTGAATGCCATAGTATTACTGCTAGTAGTTAATACATATACTTAGAAAAGTAAATTTAAAATATAGACGTTACACTATAAATACGTTGTAATTAAACTCAATGGCTTCACAGCTATGCATTTTGATTATCATGAACACTGACCAGATGAGGATGAAGTTGTTACCTTGCATGTTAGCCACGTGGAAGATGAAACGTTGATACCTGTTACTACTTTTAGGCTCCAATATCTGCTGTTCCACCTCTTCAAACACTGTTTCTCTCTGCCACTCAAAATCACCATGGAATCCCTCAAACTTTCTCTCTTTCTTCTTCCTCTTCTCTTTGCTTTCATAGCCTTTTCTAACTCAGTGCTCTCTGATGGTAAGTACCTTGTAACTCCAACCTTATAAATCGATATTTTATTGCATAAACGGTGTCTTTCATTTTATTCATGAAACTTAGTTATTAGAATGTTTTGTTTGATTAGATAAGGAGGACAGTGTGTTAAAGGGAATCAACAGCTACAGGCAGACAAAAAAGCTGACACCCTTGGTCGAAGTTTCGAAGGCGAAATGTTTGGCCGGTGAAGTTGCAGAAGAAATAGAGAAAACAGCATGTGAAAACGTGAATCAATTCTACCCAACTGTTTCTGGTGGCGGCAACATCCCCAACTTGAGGAAGCACATTGAAAAATGTGACATCAACATCACTAGCACCACAGATGGAGTCATTCTCCCAGTTTGTGTCCGCAAATTGGAACCCACCATTGTGCTCTCTAATTACACTCATTCAGATCGTTATGCACAGTTTCTCAACAATTCTAAATACTCGGGAGCAGGCCTTGGTTCTGAGGATGATTGGATGGTCCTTGTTCTTACCACCAACACTGTCAGTGGGAGTTTCTCTGCTTCTGCTTCCTCAACTTGTGTTAATTCTAATGTTGTTCTTTCTGTGGGGCTTTTGCTCTTTGCTTTGCTGCTTCTGCTCACCAACTTCTTTGATTGAGCACTTTGCTTTCTTTTCAGCTTCATTTTCTGGAATGTGGACCCTTTAATATCACTTCTGTTTGTGTAATGTGAAATTTATGAATTAACTTGTGTGTTGCTGTTATTTACATCTTCCTCTTTCCCCCATCCCCTCACCGTTAGATGCTGTGTGAAATTTCGTATCAAAATTCTTCCTTGTTTGCCATCAATCTTCATTTTTCTTTTTCGACTGTGGTTTTAGTCTAAAACTAGAAAAGAGGACGGGCCCAAAGAGGCCCTATAGAATAGCAAAAATTCCAGATGGGCCGTTTCTTCCTGCCCTTCATAATTTCAGCTTGCACTCTTCTTTTGCTCGTTTAAGAATAAAAAAAAATGGTTCTTACAATGATGTGTTTAATTTGAATAAGAGTTTGGAAAAACTTTTTACGTCTACACTGTCCAAGATTTATCTCAAAGCTACAAGAAAATAACTGCATATTAATTTATGAATTTGAATTTGAACATTTGAGTTTTCTGGTATGTGTTAGAGTTTCTATTCAGATTTCAATATTTTAATATCTACGAAGCATACTGTGTCATACGTCTACTATATAAAAGTTTCCTTCCATATTTTTTTGCATCCAATACATCTCTTATATTCTTCATTTCATATTTTTTTGCATCCATGTAGCTTCACACTATTTATCTACCCATCCTTTACTTTTCTTCCATTCTTTTTTTTTTTTGTGGGAGGGCAAAGGTTTAATGTAATATTTTAATTATGACTATTGAAAAGTTCTGATCATAGAAACCCACACTCCCATAGACATCTTAACGAAGACAAAAAGGAATTTAAAATTTTGTTTATTCACTTTTTATATATATATATATATATATATATATATATATATATATGTATGTTTTTCTCATTTTCATGAAGAAAAAAAATTGTAGAGCGAAAATGAATGATTACACCAATGAGTTGTAGAAGAAGAAAAATGCATAGTAAAATGTGAATCGCATATATATTAAGCAATGCATAGTAAAATGTTTAACCTAAAAATAATTAGGTATGAATCCAAAAAGTCAATCATTATGTCAAATATGATTTAGCCTGAACGATTAATATTAAGATGGATATTTTGTTTGAGCACCTATGTAAAAGTCTTTTATGTTAGTTAAAAGATATGAAATAGATAATTTAGAGTTTAGAGAAGATAATACCAATATAAATAAATATAGAAGCTTGAACAATTTTGTCTATAACACCAAATATTTCCATTCCGCTTCTAACAGAAGATACACATAAATAAACAAAGAAAGAAAATTTTACAAAAATAATTTATTACTAAAAACTATTAATACAAGCAGATTTGAAATAGCTATTATTAAAAAAAATAAAAATAAAAATAAAAATGTTTTCTAGCAGCTACTCTTTTAAGTTCACTCCTATAGTGTCTGTCCTACATGACAGTAAAACTTTTGTTTTCTCATAAACTGAAAATATAGTTACATGTCCAGTAGAGATTAACCTGGACTCCACACAATCGAAAACCACAGAATAACTTTTTCCTTGTATCAACATAGGATACAGGGTCTATGGTTGCACCTACCTGTTGTGCAAGGGGTCTGGAGAAGAGGGAACTACTCTATTAACTGCAGCATAAGAAGACCCTTCATTTGTTTCATTTATAAACCCTTTTCTCCCTGTTCCATACTTGTTCTGCACAGCCTCCATTTCTTCTTTTACATACCGACCACCCAATACTTCACAATTCAAAACTGAAATACTTAGTAGTACCAGCAAGAGACACCCCACTTGAGACCTTGAAATCGACATCACTTCACTGCAACTGTTCATCACCAAATTCTTCTGGTATGTTCAAGAAAGGAAATTAAACTAGAAAGATGTTGAAGAATAGGTGTGTGGCAAGGAGAGAAAGGAAAATGATTCTTCCCAATATAAGTGTGCAGGGAAATGAAGATTAAGAATAATGAGTTATGACTCTTTTAGTATGCTGAGTTTGAAATGAGGATAGTTGTTTCCCACCTACATGTGTAAAACAAATCATTATTTGTTTCGGATGTGGGTCAAGTCTTCTAATTCCACTGGTTGGTTTCTAATTGGTAGCTCCCAAATCCAAATCCTAGTCATCAAACATAGGTGGAAGGTGTAGGTATACATTGCATTATTCATTGTAAAGAAAGAGACAAGGGAAATGTAGGAAAAAAATTTCCAAACTCGTGTTTCAGTTAATTTAATTAGTAATAATAATATTAGTTCCAATACAGATGAAGTCAGAGTTAATAATGTTTGACTATGTTTTCATGTGTGGTACTTCATAATCAGTGTCCATTTCATTAAACCTGACCCGACATGCAATATAAGGACGTTTCAGAAACCAGAAATTGGAGAGTTTGTGCATTGATGGTGAAATATGTACACTGTTGTCTATTGGATACCAACCAACCATTCCTTTATCAACTATTAAACATTTATGGCCATGGAATATTGTTGTTTAAGTCGATTAATAAACTCCTTATACTTCCAAAATCACCCTAACCTTGTTAATCGCAGAACCCCAATTTCAGGATCAGAACTTGACTTTTAACACCAGTTTATTTTATCTTAACTTTTTTTCCACCTTTAAAGTTCAAATTGTGTGCTTTGTATGGGTGGTCAATGCTATTTTCCAGGTCTAGTGTGACTTTTGTTTCTTTTTCCTATGGTCTCTTCATGTTTGAGAGTTACTTGCTCGATGAGGGAGTAAGAGATTTCAGTAAACTGTAAAAGGTATCTTTTAGCTCATGTTATCTGTCTGGCTTAATGTTTATAGAGTAATGTATTCTAGTGGGGTTTGTTTCTTTCTTTGGACTAGGTTGTGGGAGCTTTCAGATTCTATAATCTATTTCATATCAAATTTTGGGATTCGTCATTTTCAACCTTAGCACTCGTTCTTCTGTCAGATGTTCTTGTGAACACAAATTTCTTTCCAATTAATCTATCACTTCAAAACATGTATTTTGGTCGGTTCTCTTCTCTAACTCTAGTTGGCACTGCCTAAAAATTAAATTAGGTCAAATTAGTACTAGTAATAACGAAAGTTTGGCGTAAACAATAAGCATGTTCAAAGACTTCTAAGGGATTGTGTTGACTTTATAGTAGCAATTCTTATTGGGATAAATCCGAATGGTGGACATAGTGCTGTTGGGGTCAAATTCTGGAGGAAAAGTTATGGTGTGTTAATTTGATAGACTAAGGACAGATATGATTATTGCCTCTGGAAATTATTGAAGCAAACAAATAGTCATCGCGTGGTTCGCGTTGATGCAGCGCGTTGCCATTGTCTATTTTTTGCCTAATATCTTATTCCCTGACTATAGGCTATTTTCAGTGCGAAATCATGTTCAAGCAGTGGCCAAAATTGAATTTATTCTACTTTCATTAAAATATTCTATACTTGTGTGCCGGTGGATTCGCTTAATCCCTGTAGTTTGACTTTCTTCAGGGCCATATCATGTCCAAGCTGTGCTAAAGTTGAAAATGTTACAAGCACTCAAGCATAGTTACATTCTCCAAATTTGATCATTTTCGTTTTAAACTTCTTACACTGATATGTCGGTAGATTATTCAAAAAAGGTACATTTAGTAAAATGTACAAATTTGACCTGATTCAAAAAACCTACTTTTACCTGCATTAGACAAAGGAAAAAAATACATTACAATAGAGTCTTCAGATAGGTTCAGAAATCCTGAGATAAAAATCCTATAGGATGATATCAAAACCAATTTTAATTGTCAGTTTTCTGAGTCCAATATGTATATGTTAAATATCGAGATAGTATTGACAAAATTGGCAGATATTTGAGTCTTTTAAATGTCTTATCAGGGTTCAATTCTTGGCCTTACGAATGAATACTTTGTTAGAAAAAACAAACCCTACTTCAACAATATTAATATCTAAAGATACCTGAGATACGAATAAAATGTGTGTATGCTTGGTTCACATCTCGTGGTAAAATGAGTCGGGGATATGCGAATCTAAGCAAAATAGAAGGACGTGATTTTTTAGAAGGAAAATGAGGCGAATCCAATCACTCAGCATTTCAAACATTTTGGATTCCTGTTAAAACAATCCAAAGTTCAGCAGTAAAAAAACATTTTAGATTTCATTCATCTATGAATTGTCATATTGATTTCATTCAACTCAGTTATCCAACGGACGAGGTCATTACGTTCAGCAAGGAACGGTCGTAAAGGGCTGGTCATAGGACTGAGCAACAAATTTTTTATGCTCTGTAGTGATGAACGCTTTTTAGCCACCCAATTAGGGATCTGCACGGTTAATGCGAAAAGAGAGAGTTTATGTATAAAATATATCCTTACCTATTTGGATACCATTTTGGAAATCAAGGTTTTAAATGAGACTTCTATGAATATTGCTGTTCGTTTTCCGTTGGAGCACCCTGAATATACTTTCTGAAAATAATAATTTTGTTTCTGCCACCCTGGATGGAGGTAATTTTGGAGGGAGTTTTAAAGGTATCCCATACATTCAATTCAAAGATATCAATGAACCGTATAGTCCGAACTTCGATCAGTAAAAACTCATTCAGAACTCAAACATGACAAGATATCACTGAAGTACGTGTAATAAATTGTCAAAGACAAGAGCTTTAGTTATGATAATCACAAGTTATCGCCTCTATATTGCCACAAATGAATGAATACATGATTACTTAATCTTTGGATTGTGTTTCAGCTACATATTCTAAAATGCCAAAAAGCTATACCTTCGTTCTATATATTTCACTCATGATGTCCAGTTTCCTTTTATACTGATACTGTGAAGAGGTAAACTTTTAGTACAACGGCCAGAGCCAGCTGCAACAGAAAAATGCCAGCAACAATCAAGAACCACCTTTCACCTGCTGATTTGATATGTGCCCGGAGGTTAAGTGCCACAAATGTCGCTGACATGAACCCGGCCACACCTGCAACCACCCATCTAAATATATCCAGTGGCACTATGGACATACACTGCATAAAACAAGGGTTTGACTGTTGATAAGACAATACAAAATAATGTCATATTTTATGTTTCCTTGAAGGTAGAAAAAGGAAGAACAACTTACAAGTGCCGG